TGGCCAGAGCTGCCACATGGTGGGAGAGGAGGGCATGGCCTGTTCTGACTACTCACCGCATGTTATGGCCCCTCTCCTGTAGGTATAATGGTATGTGTCAGTTATGACATGACATTTGCTAGCTATGAGCCGTGAGTAACAGCAGTCATGACGCAGGCAACACCTGTAAGGAGAAACAGGCTGAACTGGATACACAGCAGAGTATGCAGAAAAACAAAACAACGCCCCCCCTCCAACTGCGCCTGCCCTCAATGGGTTTCTGAATTGCATAAAACAAGCAGATCCTGCGACATCACAGCTCAACGGAGTAAAGCTGGTCGCAAAACTTACTCATACAGACAGTCTCACTGATGTCAATAGATTTTAGCCTCCTCTCCCTAAACCTTCCATGGGCCAGTTCTCTCTGATATCCGTGATGGGTCTTTGCTCTTCTTGTTACTTTCTTTGCTGCCTCTACTGGCCTTCTTTCCACACTTCCACATATCCTGTCTGGCCTTGGGGTGACGGGCTTCTCTTGTGCATCTCCTGGTCTTGGGAGCAGACGTCGTGCCCTGTGTGCCCATTGATCCGTGTCGCTTCATGGAGTTACGTTCACGTCTCTCCGTTAGGGATCCGTACCGCAGTCTTCTTTCAGAAGTCACCTGAGCACATAGCCAGGCCCGCCGACAGGGGGAGCAAAGAGGGTGATCGCACAGGGGCGCGGCATTTCAGAGGGGTCCTGGGTGAATGTGCTCTGGGTGGCGCTAAGGGCTGAGTTCCCTTGGCCCTGCCCCTTCCGCCCTTGCCCCCGCCCCTTCTTCCCTCGGTCCCGCCCCTTACCAAGGTATGAATCCAGTGCCCCCCACACCTTGCGCCCAGGTCTGCGGTAGCTGTTGGCCCTGCTGCACATACCAGGCTAAAAGCATCCGTAAAGTATCTCAGTGGAGTTACGCTAAGGATGAATTTGATACCATCTTTTCTCCCTGGCTTAAACCTTTCTCCTGCTCTCTATTTCCTGCACCTGTGTGTCACTCTGCAAGGCTGACTGGGGTGCAGCTGGGATATTCAGCAAGCTCTAGTATCTAGAGCAAGGACTGGAGACCCATAATTCACCAATGTGGCCTGTGTTTTTAGATACCATAATCAATATCTGCTATACCAGTCAGTGGCATCCTTAGGTTCTCCTTTGCCTCCCACGCCGCAATGGCACCCGTAGAAGGTGTAATTTGGGAACGCACTTTTCCCAGTTGCTTGTTTGATCATCTTTCGAAACTCCAAGAGACTCCCATGCACCACAAATTCACCTGCAAAATAACAGCAGAGTGTTACATCCTAGTTCAGGGTCTCTGTGCCTGAAGTCCCCCTCCATGGCCCAGCAAGGGCACTGGCTAGACTGGTGATTTTCAAACGATGGATTGTGACCCAACACTCGGTGGCAGAATGTCAGGCTCTGGGTCTCTTTGTGCAGGTGGATCAGGTGACCAGTGCAGGTTCTAAGGCAACGCCCTGCCTGTCCTGCACCACAGACTGTGCAGCACCCCAGAAGTGGCCAGCAGCAGGCCCAGCTCATAGGGGTGTGTGTGCGGGGGAGGGCACAGGTATCCATGCGCTGTCCCTGCCCTGAGCACTAGCACTTCACTCCCCTTGGCTGGGGACCTGCTGCTGGCTGCTTCTGAGGTGCAACATGGTCTGCAGTGCCAGCAGAGGCAGGAAGCTGCCTTAGCCCCTCTCCACCACTACCCCCCCCCCGCACTGCTGACTGGGAGCTCATAGACTTTAAGGTCAGAAGGGACCATTATGATCATCTAGTCTGACCCCCTGCACAGTGCAGGCCACAGAATCTCACCCACCCGCTCCTAGAATAATCCTCTCACCTATATCTCAGATATTGAAGCCTTCAAATACTTTGAAGACCCCAAGATGCAGAGAATCCTCCAGCTGTGATCTGTACCCCAGAGGAAGGCGAAAAACCTCTAGAGCTACTCAAGGGAAGCCCTTCCTGCCCCAGCCTTGACCCCCACAAAAAAAGCCAGAACCCCCACATACAGCCAAAGCTCTCCTCCTCAGCCCCACCTCAGAGCTCACACTTTTGTCAAATTCTGTTGGGTCTCAGCATCAATGATTTTCTCCAACTGGATCACGAGAAAAAAAGTTTCCAATCAGGGGTGGCCTGGGGCCACTTGACAAATTTCTGAAGTGGCCCTCCGTCAAAAATGATTGCCCACCCCGATCTAGAGTATCCCTGACAGGTGTTTCTCTAACCTGCTCTTAAAACTCCCCAATGATGGAGATCCCACAACCTCTCTAGGGGTAGGTCCACACGACAGCGTTATTTTGAAATAGTTCTTCCTCCATTGCCCCCCCCCAGTCTACACGGGGCCAAATGAAAAAAAGCCCCCTCTTCCAGAGCATCCCTTCTTCCTCATAAAACGAGGTTTACAGGGGGACCAGGCAGGCACCCGCCTTTTCCGATCCCTAGCAGGCTCCTGGGCGCTGGCAGACTGGTCCTGGGGAGCGGTGGAGGGCTGGCTGGCCCTGGCTGGCCG